CTACTCGAATTTCCTCACTCACGTTGTTACGACTGAATCGACTTTTCAATTCTCTATCCAACGATGCCAAAACAAATTCTGTGGCTCGAATGGTTTTTGAGAAACCTCGAAAAAAGCAGCGTCATGTTCAAGTGGATTTTGCAACTCAAAAAAAAATCACGCAAATCTAAAACTTCTTCAAATGAAGCATTTTTTGAGAACACTGCCAACATTTCCTTATCGATGGTTCACTTTCTAAAAAGGCCATTTATTTCTGTCTAGAATGATGTACAAATGAGGGTTCTTGCTCATTTTGCCTCCGAGAAAAGAGCAAAAACGGAACGCAAAACATGAAATTTTGCAATAATCTTGCGCCACCCTTGCACAAAACGACGATAATTTTTCTAATTTCATAGACAAGACTGTATTTTTTCTACATAATATATTATATATATATAATATATATGATAAATATTTTCTGTTCTTTGAGTATTGCTATTTGCCGAATCATGCAATCACTGCCGTTGCATGGATTCAAAAAAATCATCAGATTCCACTCCCATGCATACAAAACCTTACCACTTCATGAGAATAAAATATCTCCTTTCACAAAAATAGAAGCCAATTGACAACGCCGCGGGGAATCAAACGACAGGTAGGTATTTGCCTGAATGTGCTAAACGATTTTCTAAAACATAACTGTATTTTAGAAACTAAAACTCTAAAGAGCAATTAGACGTGTAGGTATACAGTTTCTTTCATATGGACTATAGAGAAAATAAAATACACTTATTTTATTTTCTCTCTATGATAAAAACCCAATGTTGTTGTAAATTTCCAAAGGAAAGGAAACAATCATGAAACAATTAACGGTCCCATGACGCAGCACTGACAGGAGGACATGGGAGTATGGGTGGCATTCTACTCATTGAATTTTATTCAATGAAATCTTCCTTAGTTGTATTTCTGGGTTGAGACGTTTATGTCTTATTTACACCCTGAATGTTTTCAAGGACCGATTTGATGGAATATTCCGTATATTTCGTTTGTTTACCTGGCACTACTTTTCGCTCGCGCATGTTTTTGTGAAAGCAACCCAAACAAACAATAAGGAGGTTAACCAGGGAGCGTATTGCTAAACTGCATGAAACCGGTAAAACCTACAAACTATGTATGGGTCGTTTTAAATAGAGTTAAGCCAATCAATATATTGCTAAATATAGACGAAGCTATTTTAGCCATTATAATGTAATAAATATAACATTATAATTACCGTTGTGTTTAATTAGTGACCGTAATGATAATCAGTAAACAATTATCAATAGATGATTGGCAAAATATGAGACACTATGTCCACTCCACTGTAGAAACATTTCGATTTTATGCTCGTGTTTGTCATGTTGTATTTTACCATAATGTTAATTTTAATTTACGATTGTGATTGTGTTCCAATGGCGACTCTCTGACCAACTTAAAGTAGTTTAATCTCGCTGAATTTAGAGCTGAAACCCCAATGTTTTCAATTTTAGAGCCCTGAGGATGACTTAAATACAGTTGAGTCCGGATATAACGAACTTGAAAAAT